CTGGGGCTAGTGGCAGTTAGAGAGATCCACTGCCACCTGGGCTATCTAGAAAGGCAGTCCCACCATGGAGCCGTCCCAGCCCTGCTGCATGTCCAGGAGATGTCAGGACATGCCACGATTGGACTGTGTCTGGGCCAAGTGGGTCTGAGGGATCTGCCGTGGGCCAGATTTTGCCCACATCTGGTCTAAGGGCTTATTTTATACTCTTGCAAGGTGAGTCCCAGCACTAGGAGCCTTAAGTGCACCTTTACGCCCCTGCTTCTCCCCCTCCCCCTTCAAATTTGCTATTGACTGCACCATGCTCATCCTGAGGAGGCAGAGGGTGTGAGAGCAGATGCAGAGGGAAGAAAACTCAGCCTCAGTGACTTATTTCTGGCTTGGAATGTGTTTGCAGACTCAAGTGGACACAGTCTGGGGGGAGCGCGCTCAAGTTCTGTCATAGATACCTGCTGTCTATTTCTGGCTCTGAAATGATTATGTGCAGTTACTCTGCCATTAGTTACCCTTGTCTGTAAAAGTAATGGGAGAATGATGCTGATCTCCCAAGGTAAAAGAGTGATATCTTGCTCAGCAGTGAGTTTTGCAAAATCCATGGCAGTGCAGTTGCACACACATGAGCAGTGTGCCCTGCTAAGCTCACTGGCATGGCAGTGCAGCTGGAGCTCTGCATGTGCCTTGACTTCTTGAGTGCTGCAGCAGCAGGGGGAAAGAAGGGAAGAGCATTGGTGGCATTTATCCTCTGGGCTGTGGAGCTGTGCAAAGCAGGGACTTCATCTGGAGCTTGCTGTGATCAGCTAGTGAACTCAGGGCACACGTGGAGGACTGTCATTTCAGGACTGTTTCTCTTGTTGTGAATGGCACAAGTTTTCCCCCCCTTCCCTCCTTGACTAGTAACAGGAGAGGAACGTAGAGGGGAAACAGGATCTAGCAACTCGGGCATTGCAGCCAAGGTGGAACAGGGAAAAGAAGCAGGTAGGTGGACAGCATGTCTATTGTGGAGCTGAGAACCAAGTCTTAAAACTAAAAAGGGAAATCACTTATTTTTATCAAGAGCCCTTTCTCTGAATGGCACACAGCTAGAATTCGTAGTAGCATGTGTGAATGTAAGTTTGGCATTTGTGGAGTATTTTTTAGTATACTTTTTGGTTTTGAAATATATTCACAAGCTGTTTTAAATGATAGTTATCCTTGTCATCAAGTTAAAATAGACTGATAACCTTACAGAATTAAGACAGCAGCACATTTTCCCCTCCTTGTCCTCTCCCCTCATCTTACATTTTTCACCTTGGTTATTATAAGTGTTTCAGCCAAATAATTTGCCCCTTTTTCTTACCAGCCCCAATATAAACAATATATACAGCCATTTTTGCCCTTTCCAAATGCCTTCTCTTCGTCTACTTCCCAGCACACCCTAAAAATGAATTAAATTGGGCTAGCTAAGAGCAGGGAAACAGTAAATTTCAAAATCAATGTTATCCCAATATCCTGAGCCCCTCAAATGGAGAGGCTCTATGCACTACACTTTACAAAGACGTCTGTGCTCTTGCCTTGGCTCCAGTGGTCTATATCAGCTCGGAGAGAGAGCAAAGTTACAAGTTGTGGCATTTAGTACCCCAGAAATTGTATGTAGTGCAAGACAAAGCTTCAGCAAAGAGAAGATCATGTTCATCCCCTCCTAGGTTCTGTCCCACCTTTTCCGGTAGGATGTTTCCAACCAGTCAGAGTTGGTCTCATTAGCAATCGAGTGAACCAAAGTCTGGGCTAACCAGGTTATATTCTGTCCAGAACAAATCCATGGGTTTTGCTGATGCTAGGTTGCAAGCAAAGAAACGTTTGTTGTTTGTCCATCTTGGCCACAGTTACTTCAGTTACACAAAGATTTACAAGTCTGTCTTTCAAGATTAATCCAGGGAAGAGGGTACATAGAGAGCCATCGTTATAAGTAGTTAAGGGCGAACTCTCATTATAAGGTCCTCCTGCGCTATCAACAGTGTAGTTAGTCATTAACAACGTTATCCTGCAGAATCATCTGGAAGTCCTCAGGTTTCACTAGTCACTGAAGGCAGTTCCTCAGTACCAAAGAGAATAGGGCACAAAATCATGCATAGGAGGGAAGGTGATTTAGTGTATTTGGAATACTTTTCAAATAGATACAACTCACGTAAGTCTTTGGCACTTGCTACGGACTGTAGAGTAGTATACAGCATATGGCAACGGTTCATCAGCAAGTGATGGTGGATATTGCAGCTATTCTGCTGACTGGTGGTGCATTTTCTCTTGTGGCTGTGAAGACCAATGTTAGACTTGCAGGTCTTGCCACAGAGGTCACCAGGTGTATATGGCATTAGGGACCACCGTACTGACAGGCTGTTTCCTTCGGTCACATTTCTGTTGTAATTCAGAAGACCATAATTTGTTGTGATGTTGGACTCCATGATTGAGAAGGGAGTGCCACTTTGCCCTGTCTGCTGCTAAGGCCTCCCAAAGGTTTGGTTTAATTCCAAAAATTCCTGCCTGCAGATGTCTTTCAAGCTCAATTTTAGGCATGCTGCTCTTCTCTTCCCTTCTGCAATTTGCCCATACAGGGTGTCCTTCAGGATGCGCCATCTTCCATCCTGCACAGATGGCCAAGCCATTGTAGGCGCCACTGTTTTGAGTAAATCAATGATGGTTGGTGGGTTGGTTTTGGTGATGACCTCTGTGTTGGTGATTCTGTCTTGCCACTTGATGTCAAGGGTGCACTGTAGACAACGTAGGTGGAAGTTGTTCCACTTCTCTTCCAGATATGCATATGTTGACCATGCCTCACTGCTATACATAAGGACACTGAGGGTGCAGGCTTACACAAGCTGCTTAGTTTTGCTTGTGAGTTTTGTATTGTTCCAGGCTCGTTTGGAGAGCTTACTGAAAGTGGTAGATGCCTTTCTAGTGTGCATATTTAACTTTCATCCAGTGATAGGTTGTCACTCACTGTGGATCCAAGGTAGCAGAACTTGTTCACTGCCTCGAGAGGTGTGTTGTGCAGGCTGATAAAGGGTGACTGGTGAACACCCTTTTCTAGGACCATAGTCGTCTTCGATGCTGATGGTCAGGGCAAACATCCTGTAAGCCTGGGAGTGGCATTTCATGAGTATCTGTAGTAGACTTTCTTCATGGGCGGTGAGTGCAGCATTGTCTGCAAAAAGGAGCTCCCTAATAAGTATGTGCCTCACTTTTTTTGTCTTGGCCTTTAGATGTTATAGATTATAGAGTTTGTATACTAGTAATATTTGGCTTTAGAGACGATGTTGAGGTGTAATATGTTTGACACTGGCAAATTTGTACAGCTTCATTGGGAACAGATAGAGGTTTTGCTCTTGTAAGGATCCCTGCCCGCCAAGTTAGTCCCCATCTTGTACATACGCCATTTCTTCCAGCATTCTACACAGTGACTACGTTGTAATACTTTTGGAGACTCTCTCCAGCCTTAGTTGCTGCTAATCAAACAGATGTAATTCCTACTGTGGGTGTATGAAACTTTCTTTCTTTCTTTCTTTCTTTTTTGGATGGGTGTTTTAGTGTCTTCTGCTGCTTTTCTCTATAGACTGTCTAGGACAGGGATAGAAAACTGCTTTTTCCTTTTCTGGTGCATTCAGGCTTCCTTTGAAATGATGTGAGCTTAATTTAACTAGAGAATATCAGAAAGGTAGGGATGGCTTATTTGCCTGCTGAGGATTACTCTGAAACTATCCTAGATGACAGAAATGGTTATAGCTGAAAGAGCATCTTCTAGTATGGTTTTCTGGCGGGGTGGGACACAGTGGGGGAGGCGGCAGAGGGCACACCTTCTTTACTGACTTTGAGCCTTGTGTTTAGGCATAGCTTTAAGACTATCTGGCAAGATAGTGTGATCTTTCATATGCTCTTTAGTGTGTCTTTTGCAGCCTAAAGCTTTGATGACAGGTGTGGGGGGAAAGTGAGTAGTAGGTGCCTGAATGGGAACCAGTTTCTTTCTGTCAAATTATTAAGAGTTTGAAATATCTCTAGAAATTACTAACCACAAATAAGTTCCACTCACAGGCAGTCCTTGCATTTGGTCCCCCACCTGAGACCGGCATTTTGGGAGATTGGGAAAATAATTTTTGTTTGATTCATTTGTTCAATTTGTTCAAACTGTCTAGGCTGTGTTGAAATTTTTTTTTCTTCCCCTCAAGCTGTTTTGTGAGTCTTAAGAATACCTTAAGAAAAGTGTTGGGTATGAACATCCAGTAAGATATCTGCTGAGAAGGACTGTTTGGTTAAGTAAGTGATAGCCCATGATGTACCTGGATCAAAGGTTTTGCCTATTTTTAACTTTGTATGCAGTGTGACAGATAAATCATAGGGGTTGTATGAAAGAGAAAAGAAAAAACTCAACTTCTGTCCCCAGGAGTGGAGGACTGAGTTACTGGAGCAACTGCAGGAAAACTGATAATTTTGTGATACTTTTGTTTTTCTTTTCCCCTCCGATTAGTTTCATATGCTAAAATATCTCGCTTGCTACTGTATATTTAGGAGTTTAATGTAATGCTTTGTTCTTTTGTCTATTTAACTATTCTGTTTTACAAGATCAGAAGTGAAAAAATGAATGTCACATACCATGACTACTTCTGTGTGACAGTTTGCTGATTGTAGTTTTATGATGATAGCTTAGTATTCCCAAGTCAGTGTTTCAAACTGGAATGACTTGTTTTCTGGGGGCTCCCTGCTTATTATTTGTGGTACGCTAGCCTCAAAAATGGATAAATGTCTGAAGTGGAAAGTGAAGGAGCATCACATCAGACTGTCCACGCAATTGTCAGCTCTGAAAAACTTAACGGCGCGTTTTTACCATAGCTGTTCTAAGGGGTTTTTACATATGATATTTGTGTGTTGTTTTGATCTCGGCTAAGAAACGAACACCTTTAATTTCAGCAGACACATCACTTTTTTTTTTTAGGATTAATGTAAAATATTCTTCCATGCAGGACACAGCTTAGGCTATGGCTTTGTGAACTACGTGACTGCAAAAGATGCTGAAAGAGCAATAAACACACTGAATGGCCTGAGACTTCAGTCAAAAACTATCAAGGTAGCAAGCATGGATTTTATAGTTTACACCCTAGAATGTGACATTATATATTTAGAATAGTTAAGCGGAGCTCTGGCATTCTTGAATTGTAATACCTTCTCCTGCTCAGCTGTCCCTCCCCAATTTCTTTTAGACTTCTATGTGCCTTGCCAGTTTAAAACCTCAGGAATGAATGGTAACTTAAGATCTTGAGTAAGTGAAAGTTCCTAATAAGAGAGGCAAATATTTGCAAAGGTCATCTGACTAGTTAAACTTTTTATGAGTGCATTTTGAAAACCTGTAATTAACATTTAATTGTTTCATTATACTTTTAAAACTGATTTAAGATCTGATTTTCACTAGCACAGGATTACAGTGAAATCAGTGTGGACTGCTGAGTATTCAACACTTGAAAACTGGGCCACTTTTTTAGACGTTTAAACATGGGTTTAGGATCCTAACTTGGGGAGGGGGGTTGTATTTTTAGTGGTGTTTTATCTTAGTGTTTTGTAAACATGAACCATTTTCTTTGAATGTCAGCACCACCTTTGCTGCCAGTGGCCATGCATTAGGTTTGAATATTAGTTACAGCCCTTTTCTCTTGAGTTCCCAAAGTACTTGTCCTTGAAGATGTCACTTAAATTCCTCACCACCACCCCTGGTAGGAGACAGGTACCATTTTGCTTTGCAAAACAAGTTTACTGAAATTGTTAACAATTTATATTAGAAATTCTTATTACTCTGTAATCTTAAAATTTTTCATGCAAATGAATGTTAGTTTTATGTTGTTTGCTCTCCTTCAGTGAATGCTGCAGTGGAGAGCTTCAAACTGAGAACAGGGGCATTTATAGAAGAATAGTACAATGGAATGAGCTGTCAAACACCTCTGCTTTGTAACAGCTTGATTTTTCAAAGATTATCTCTTTCTCCTTCCCTCCGTTTTCAGAACACTCATCACTGTAGTGTCTAGGTGACAGTTTCATACACCTGGTGTACATAATTACTGGCAGGTCATGGGTTCTATCCCAATGCCACATGTGATGACTGTGTCTGTGTCCACAGTAGGTAAGACTATTCCAAATTGTTGCCTGACTTTTGGATTGAACTCATGTGAAACTCAGGTACTTTGATGATGAGCTCTGCCTTAAAATATGAAAAAAGGAGTGCATATTATATTAGTTGGTTTGAATTTCTACCATTTTCCTGTAAAGGATAGACTTTCAGACATTATGAGATGGTTTGTAATGTTCTCATTTTCTAGTGAGAAGGAGGATACATGTTAATTCTGCATAGTTTTAAGAGCTAAAACTGTCATTGATGTATTGAGTTTTTCCGCTGGTACTTGAATACAGCTATTGATATTTACTAGGCACTGACATAACATATACTACGTCTGGTACCCAAGAAAAACTTTTATCATGATGGTTCATTGATATCATCAGTACTGGGCTATTGTTAGCTCATCCCCAGAAGGGATTGTGTAACATCTTTTTGCATCAAATAAGAAGATCTCTTATCTTTCCCCTCTTGCTCACTCGCTTTTTTCTCCCTTGTTTATAAAAATACTGTAGGGAA